GGCAGGGCCGATCCGCTATTCGGGATATCGACCCCAAGCTTTCCCTGGGTGAGCCAGGCTCACGCTGCCCAATCCGCCCCGCCATCCTCTCCGAAGCAGGCCGACGGCATGTGTCACCTAGCCTGTTAAAGTCTGAGGCTTTTCCACACGTTGGGGTCGGTCCAGCTCAAAGCAGGGAAGCAGGGTGGGAGTGGGACGACGTCGTGTCCTGGGGCACCAGCCCCTCATCGTTGCCTAGCCTGACGGCCAATGGCTGGGGCTGAGGAGGCGGCGTCGTGTTCTCCTGCAACCTTGGCATGAGTGCGCTGAGGACGGTGGGGTTCTGGGCGAGAGCGCGGCCTGAAGCTGAGGGTCAACAGCAGGAGAGGCCGGTTGCACCGAGGCGTCGCCCTTTTCCGCGCGCTTTTTGTCCAAGACGAGGCGGGCGTCGGGAGCGCCGCTGTTGAGCTTGTTGCGCAGGTCTCCTGCAAGGTCGATGGCTTCCTGGAAGACATCCCCCTCGGCGGCCTTGTCGGCCGTAGCATCCTCCTCGTGTTCTTGATTCTCCTGTGCCTCAGGGATGGCCTTGCTAAGGAGGTTGCGGTTTGACTTAGTTCTTCCCATTTCCAGTTAGCTGTGCTTGGTAGCGACGAAGGAGGCTAACTTGATTGTTCTAGCTCTCAATGAAAGCACCAAATGATAGACTATAAGTCTAGAGAGAAGGGAGAGCTAGAGAGAGAAGTAGTATAATTGCTTTGTATTAATGAATTGTGAACCCTTACAACTACTCCCAGAGGGAGTATTTATAGGAAAAATTAGGGCTGGGCTCCCAAGTCTTGTGCTTGGGAGGCCCATCTACAATAGGGTCACTAATGGGCCGGATACAAAGTACATAGAAAAGATTAAGTATAAAACCCTATTCTGGAGGCCATCTATGGCCGATGAGGGCACGGATGACGAGGGTGTGGCCGACGAAGACCCGGCCGACGAGGTCACCCGGCTCTTCCTGGCTTCTGGATCACATTCTGAGTAGACTTCTTTCTGGCCGATGAGGGTCATCTGGCCGACGAGGGTCCCACCAGGTGGTCGTGGTACCTTCCGTTCTTCTGAGTATGTGGGCCCTGGGGTCCAGACCCATATACTCTATCAAAACATAATCCAATTTTCCTAGCCACTGGCAAGGAAAGAGCGGTTTGACAGCCTCCGCTAAAGGTTCCTCCTGCTTATTCTCAAAATCATCCGCTACTGGCGGTGCTGCGCGGACAACACCGCCACTTCCAAGTTTTTTGGAGTTGCTTCATCCACATCCATACTTGCTTGTGTCCCCTCCTCGCTACCCTTCTCAGTGACCATGCGCTTTCTTGGTGCTTCCTGTGTAACACCGCCCCCGAGTATTTGTACTGTACCAAATTATGTATTGAACCTTGAGAAATGTATAAAAGCATTTTTACGTGATTGTAAATTTTTATCATTTCTATTACGTGAATAGTAAAATTCACGTGGGGCCCACACCGGATGTGGGGCCGCCCAATATTATCGGGACCACATATTATATTAATCTTGGACTAGATAATATGTATATGGTGGTGGATATCCTAATTGGGCCATGACAATGGCACAAGGGTGACCGGTTGGTCAAACGGGCTAAATTATCGGTATCGGCAATTTATCAGATAACAGCCCAAAAAGGGATTCCGAGAACCTATAAATTAAAGTTGGGGATTTCATAATGATTCTAAGGCCCAATAAGGATTGGGAACGAGTGTTATATTTTATTTGACCCAATAAAATAAAATATACTTAAAACAGTCCGGAAAATACAACTTTCGGGACCGATTCTACACTTAGGGACATAAAGGGATGACCTCCCACATGAGTGGGGGCCACCCCATGGATTTTAGTGCTGCAGATGTCAAGGGAGCCGCACAAAGAGAAGGGGGAGGGGAAAGAGAAGGGGTTGAGGGGAAAGGCATTAAATGGAGTAGGGCCTCCCACATGTCATGATTGTGAGAAATGCCAAGAAGGCATTCTCAATCATACCAACCCACCCCATTTCGTATCAGGCATCAACCAAGTGAGAGGAGCTCTGCAAATAAACCATTTTCATCCATCATACACGCACCAAGTTAAGGGAGGAAGAAGAAAGGGAAAAGAGAAGAGAAAAGAGGAGTTTAGGTGGGAAAACTTGTGTTTAACAAGGTAATGACTCCATTACTCCTATTTCTTGTTCTTCAATACTCTTTTATGATTATTCAATCATATTTCACACCCTAGTAATGTTCTACACGTTGGGATGTGTAGAAAGAGGGGTTGGAAGGTAGTTCTAAGTCCAAGAACGGACTTAGAAGCCAAAGTGACCGGTTCGCCGGAAAATAACCTTTTTGAGGTTATTTGTATTACTATGGGTTTTATGATGATAAAACCTTGTTAGTAACTTGTCTAAGGTATTCAAGGAACTTTCACGGAGTTGAAAAGGTCGCCGGAGTTGTCGCCGGAGTTCGTTGAAGTTCGCCGGAGTTTCGTCGGAGCTAAATCGGGGAGGCTAGAACTTCATAAGCTTCATTAAGGTGAGAAGACGGCTTTATGCTTTATAACTTTTGCGTGAGGCATGAGATTACCTAAAGTAATCAGGAATATGTTTTGTGGAATGATTAAAGATAACCAAGTGTGTGTTTATGCCATGATTATACACAAAACATAGTTAAAAAGCATGTTATGTAGGTTTGGTGATTAAAAATGTGATAACATATTTTGTGTGATGATCCAGGGATCCAAAATGGTATTTTTGGATCAAGGACATCAAGAAGTATATGTGTATAAAATTTCAAGTTAATCGGACTCCGTTTGGGGGGTCAAAAGGGGCGTTGACCGCCAAGTCAACTGCCATACCCGATCGGGTATTGACACATACCCGATCGGGTATTTGTTGAAAATCAGCTTTGTGGACTACTGTCTCCTGTACTCGACCGAGTATGGGTTAATACTCGATCGAGTATTGGGTTATGCTCAAAATGGGCAGTTTTGAGTAGGTTAACGTGGGCCGTTCGGGTGGGACCCGCCCACGTTGGATCCTAAGGATTGTTATATGACTATAGGGCTAGGCATTGTCCATAGTTAAAGGAATGAAAGGTTAGCCATATCCAGGTTAGGATTTGGTAGAGAATAGACTGGGGATTGAGTGCCCTTGGACGGTAAATGATCCAGAATACTCCAGGTGGGGTCGAGTACCCTTGGACGGTAAATGATCCAGAATACTCCAGGTGGGGTCGAGTACCCTTGGACGGTAAATGATCCAGAATACTCCAGGTGGGGTCGAGTACCCTTGGACGGTAAATGATCCAGAATACTCCAGGTGGGGCCGAGTACCCTTGGACGGTAAATGATCTTAAATACTCCAGGATGGGTTGAGTGCCTTGGACGGTAAATGATCCTAAAACACTCGGTAGTATGAATCGAAGTAGACTATATCTTGTGAGCTAGGTAACCGGGAAAGGAGTGAGAAAAGTCAGGCAAGAACTTTATCTCTAAAAGACTCTTTAAGGTAAATGACCTACGGGTTGAGTATTTTACGAGTATATATACAGTATGTATCATCGGGTGGATGAGGGACATCTATATGTATATATCACCCTATTTTTGGGTCTCGTGTCTGAAACATTAGTTATTCTTCATATAGCCTGCTTGTCACTAGTACTTCTATGGAGTACTGACCCCTCCGAGGGCCCTCACATTTTTCAGGTTGAGGCTAGAGTCCTACTACCTGCACCTTTGCCTAGGGTGACTGATCGAGAAGGAAGACGTGGTTCGTGCTTCCATTCTTATTTCAAATATATAAACCGCTCATGGATTTTTGAACAATATTTTCATTAAAACAAGTGGGGGCCTGCGTGCCCGTGTTTGCCACGTGTGGCTAAGTATCAAACATTTTATTATTTTCCGCATTTGATTGATTATGATATTGATGTTGATTGTATGTGTTTACTAATCGGTTTGGCAATAGAATAAATCGGACGCCTTGTACAACTCAATAGGGATGAACTGTTGTTGTTCTTATCGGGTTGTACGGCGGTTGTCTACGTGGCTCGGATGCGGTCCGGGGCGTGACATCCTGGGTTGTGGCTATTTCCTTGCCCTTTGATAGAAGTCCTTCCACCAAATAGCTCTCTTGATCACTTATCGCTTTAACGGATTCTGCTCCCACATTCCTCTTGTCACCTAGCTTGTTGTTGCTAGGAATAAGCCACATGTTGCCCGGGTGCAATCCCCCTCGCCTCGTATCAGCCCGTAGTCATGACCCATAAGGCTTCTCCCCGATCCATGAACCGCTATGCGGATTAGAGGGGTAGAAGCGATCAACATGACCAAGAATCTCACACAAAAAAATAAAAAATTGGGAGTCTCTCATAACGAAAGTCTGCCCACATCCAGCTACCCCCCTCCTTCATGTCCTGTAAACGCCTAGTCAAGGCCATAGTAATATTAATAGTGACTCTAATGCGCAGGACCAACCTCTGTTTTCCGCCAAGAGAGCTCTCATCCACTTGCACAAACAATCCGCTGCTGTTGGCTATTCCACGAGCTGCTCTTGCCGTCATGTAGCTTAATGGTAAATTGTGAACCTGAATCCAAAAATCCGCATGATCCAGTGAAATCTCAAGTGGTCTATCAGTACGTCCCACTCGTTTGATGACAACAAGATTTTGCTCGAATGATCAAAGTCCTTCATCCACAACCCTGCTCAGATCACCTTCATGATAAAACGGTAAGAGGAATTTGGAATCCTCAATCTCATCAATTGAGACTCCCCTGACTTGACTCCCATGACTGATCGCCAAACCATAGTCATTGTTTGACAGAAAGAAACAACACAGATGAGTTTGTCTGAAACCACTCTAGCCACAGCCACTAGACATGATCCCTCTTTAGTCGCATCAGCATTTTCAATCGGATCAGCGACTAGCACCAAATCCCTATTTTCCTCCTCACCTATTGAAATCATACTAACATTCTTAGTAATTATTTCCATAACCACACAAAGTGAAACCACAAACACAAACAAGGAAGTAAAACACCAATTGAAAGCCATCGATTAAAGCCACTGCGAAGAGCGCAATCAACAGCAAAGAGTGCTACCCCAGCCGTTAGCAGACCAGAAACAAACACTACAGCCTCGGCCAACCAAAGCCGGAATAAAAAACTCGGGACAGACGCCCGGAACAAGAACACGATCGATCGAAAACACAGAAAGCAAATCAAGAGTAACCTGGCCGAATTTCCCTTAGAGCGCCGTTGTCTTCGACGATCTGAACCTCCCTTGAAGAAACCGCTCAAAACCGCCGATCCAGTTTGCCTCTAGAGATGTTGTTAATTAAAATCAAATTGGATATTCTAAAAGCTCGAAGTAAATATTATAAAATTAAATAGATCAATTGAGTATCCAAAAACTGACGGAAAACCTTAGTGATCAAGTAAAGTGCAGCGTTTTCATTGCAATTCATCTCTATGATGATCAGAGTTCCTCCTTATCGTCCTTTGTCAAGCTACCTTCATCCAATAATTTCTCCAAGGTTTGTTTTCAATCTTTCTTTGAAATATTATGCCTTAAGCTCATGTTTCATACTTTTAACTACATGAACCCTAATCCTCAATTAGTGAAATTTAAGAATTTAGTTTTCTTGTTGAAAAACACAAAATTGCAGATTGGTTGCAAAAATGTTGGGCTTTGGCACAAACAATAATTTTGGAGGAGCTGTTAAGTGTATGGCAGTGAAACCACCTGCTCACCCCACATATGATTTGAAGGGGGTTATTCAACTTGCCCTTTCTGAAGATGCGGGGGATAAAGGTATTAAGGTACCACGCCTGTTAGGGGCAGTTTGGATTGAAGTTCTGGACTCTGGAGGACTAAGTCTATATCATAAATGTATTTGAGAATTGAAGTAATTGCACAATAAGTGATCATTTAACATTTCAATCACTCTTTGAGTCTTTTTCACTGCTAGAAACATTCCATTAATCAAGATATAATATAAGCCTTTGTTAAAGGTATGCAAGGAGGATCTAGTGCACATGAGGAACTTAGAAATGGAAGGGAGGATTGGCCCATAGAGCCTTTTGAATCTATTTCCGCTGAAGGAGAGCGGAATGAAAATAAAAAAAGTTTTATTTGAAAGTTCAATTTGATCTAGTGTCCAGCCTAGTCAGCCATAGAGCCTAGTTGTAATTCTAAAACAACTTAATTAAAGCCATCTAACTAGAATAAGGTAACATGCCGAAAAGTAGAATTAAATAAAATTGCTTACCAATCAGCCACTTTGATTATCTTTCTTCTGTGGGCCGCCTTCGCATATTCTAGCTCGTGGGCCCTGCTTGCTTTACTGGTATGTCCGGCCCAAAGATGTCCACATAAGCCCTCCAAAAGCTTCCTGTTCAAAATGCTCCATCCAAACTGACCCTTACAAACACACACAAACTATGTTAGTATAATTATGTCTCTGTATGTATTTGATTAATCATCAAGAGTAAAAATGCTCAAATCTTCTAATAACTTTTGGGTATTTTTTAACTTATTGATACTTTGATAGATATCATCCATATCGACATCTATATAAATTAAAAAATAATAGGGAAAATAATGAAAGTTCCTCTTTCAGTATCCAGACCTCTCAAGAAGAAAATATAGATCAATATCGGTGTCATTTCAATCCTTGGTTATTTGAGGCCATACATCTGCATGATCCTTAATTTAATGTTTTGATAAATGTGAATAATTAACTCTTGATGTAAGTTTGAATAGTTAGTTGCAAGTCGTAGATATTGTTGGCATGCTCACATTACATTTTTAAAGTTGTAAATACTATACATATTACGGAGTATTTGATAGTAAAACAGTAAATAACTACATGATAAAACATTAAAACTAACCTCTCAAGTAGCGAAGTTTGAGTTTTGGTCATTGAAACCAGACCCATTTTTTAGAATCAAGCCATTGTTGATTATATATTTCGATACAATATGTTATGATGACACACAGGAGATGTGACTTGTAAAGCAACAATTCCGGCTGATATGGAAGTGGAAGCTCACTTTCTGGCTAAGGAGGATGGGATCATAGCGGGGATTGCGCTTGCTGAAATGGTATTCAGTGAAGTTGATCCTACATTGCAGGTATTGCACATTTGAGGATAGCAAGGCCCCGTTTTCTGTAGCTTACAACGGGTGAATCTGCTAAAATTATGAATGACTTGGCAGAATTATCATCTAAAATAATTATTTACAGTAAAATATGAAAATGAAGGTTGATTAGCCATTACGATGTAATTTTAACCACATTATCCAAATATGTAACTGTTACACTACTTATCATCACATTCAGCTGGCCAAGTGAAATAAGTTTGTGTCTGGTAAAAATTCTGGTAGATAAGTTGAATAACTGCCTAACGAATGGGTACTTAAAATTTCCTTTTAAAGGAAGGAGTCAATTGCGATGAATAGAGTGTTTCTAAGCGTGTTTCGACAACAGGTGGTGTGGTCTAGAAAGGATGGCGATGAAGTGAATAAAGGCCTACAATTTGGCAAAGTGCATGGTAATCTATAAATTGGAAATACACACACACACACACAAAACCTATATATATATATATATATATATCTTATAAGAGTCAAATAATTATGATTTTTAGCATTTGATTCTCCTCAAACATATTCAGGAAAGGCGTATAGCATAATTGTTGCTGAAAGGGTTGCACTTAATTTTATGCAGAGAATGAGTGGAATCGCTACACTGACTAAGGTGTGTTTATATTAATGTAAGTCACATTTCATTAATTTGAGAATGATATAGTTCTCCCTTTTTATAAGTGTTATTTTAAAACTTCATCTGATTCTAAAATTCTAATTAACCACTGTTTGGTGTTATTGAGATACAAATTACAAAACACGGGTGACGGGACACTGAATTCCATATTTTTCGAAAGTCTATCCTTACGTTGAAGCTTTTGTGCAATTTCTTACTTAGTCTTTTACTCTTTTAGGCTCTGTTTGTTTAAAGAGAAATATTTTCTTGAAAAGGTTTTCTATGTGAACCTTAAATAAATGGGGCCAGCTTCGTGAACCAAGAATAACCTAATGGGTCATTCACTGATCCACAACAGATTCCTTTGTCTGAGACATACATGTATTCATTGATCATGATTACAAATCAAAAAGTTAAGTCGGGTTACCTCTGAACATTCCAACTTATAGGGCATTGTAGGGCTTAGTCTATATCAAGATCAAAACTCTGTAGTGTTTCCAAAAAACAAATAAATGGTGATTGCGCATTGCTATACGATCACATATTATGTTAAGCCTTCAGTGTTTATAAAACCTGAAGTAGATGTCAAGATAGTGACTCAGCCCTTCAAGCCTTAACTTGACCCCTCCAAAACCCTCTATCCAAACAAACCCCTAGTGAATATGCAGTGCAACTTGTAAAGTTATACAATGTACTGCATTACCATACTCTCTTGATATTATAAGTTTATAACTATATAAAACTCAACCCATCTATACCTATTTTGGGTGTCCGTTTTTTCTTTATATTATAATATTATAATGTAGAAATGATTTAGCTTGGATGCTTGTGCTTGTAGGCAATGGCAGATGCTGCATGTCCTGCATTTATCTTGGAGACAAGAAAAACTGCTCCTTGTTTGCGTTTAATCGATAAGTGGGCGGTACAAATGTCGTCTATTACCATTTATGATCTTCTTGTCTATGGTTTCTTTCACGAAATGATTTTCACATTTTTTTTGCTCCTGGACTTTTTTGAGGACAGGTATTAATTGGCGGTGGCCAAAATCATAGAATGGGTTTGTTTGATATGGTGATGATAAAAGACAATCATATATCAGCAGCAGGAGGTGTTAATGAAGCTTTAAAATCTGTTGACCTGTATCTGGACCAAAATAACCTTCAAATGGGGGTTGAGGTACCCTTCTTTTCACTTTTCTTTATCTCCTTCTTGAAAGACGTAAGGTTTTATTTGTGTGGCAGGCCGAATGATCATTTATAAGAATAACCTTGCTACATAAAGATCTCAGTTAAGTATCCCGCATTAGGAAATTACTCTTAATCACCACCATAAAATGTTAAAGGTCACCTTTTCTAAATTGGTAGTATCCTATATTGGGTAGTTACCCATATTTCACTCGTCAGTAAGATGGGACTATCTAAATTTCACAATTGTGGACTTTTAAAACTCCATAGTTTCTTAATTCTCTCATGTGGTTCATATTTCCAAGAAAACATATAGATCGGAGTAAGCATATTGGTAGAAAAAGACTCAGCAAAAGGTCTGGATTGCCACAGTTACCCTTTAATAGAATAACAGTCACTACCATCACTTAAAGGGTATTTTTGTCAAATTCATTGCACTCCGTGAAGCTTTTCCTGATTTTGCTCTGCACAACTTAATATAAAACGAAATGCTCTGTGTTGCCTGTAAACCAAGTTTGTTTTTAAGTTTGTTCTCAGTTGTCAGTTCTCTATGTCTCTTTAATTGGTTGGTTATTCGAATATTCGATGATTTGTTATCTAATAACAGATTGAAACAAGAACACTTGAAGAAGTAGACGAGGTGCTACAATATGCATCGAGAACACCAAAGACATCATTGAGTAGATTAATGTTGGACAATATGGTCGTTCCGCTTCCAAATGGAGATGTTGATGTCTCGATGCTCAAGAAGGCTGTTAGTTTGATCAATGGGAGATTTGAGACTGAGGTAGTATCTCTACTTTGCCAATTTGAAAGTTTTAACATCGTTCTGTGCCAAGTACCAAATATGCCCTAGAGTTACCATGTCGCTGGTGATGCCTTATAAATCCAGTTCTGCCAATATATACTTGGCCATTCCTGCTTATGGTCCAGAATTTCACCTTTTCCACTTTTGGTATATGGCTATGGAGTTCTTGTCTCTTTTGGTACCTCTAGTCACTTATCTGGCAAATCAACAGGAAGTATGATGAGGACCAAAAGGTGCAAGAGATCTGTAACCGGCAGTCCGGCACTAAATGTAAATAGAAGGAAAGTCAGTGACCAAAAGTGGAAATCTGAAATTGAAAGTTTGCAATTGTTCAGTGTCCTTTTAATGAAAATTTCTATAAACAATTCTCATCTAAAGTCTGTCAAAAGATGTCATGTTTAGTGCTAATATTTTGACCAAAATCTTAAACATCTACTCGTCTTTTTTGGAGCATTCATTTTAAAATTGAAGTACTCTCCAAATGGTGTTCCTCTTACATTCTCATTCCTGCTATGTTGTGGCAGGCTTCTGGAAATGTTACACTTCAGACAGTGCATTTGATTGGGCAAACTGGTGTCACTTATATATCCAGGTCATTAAGAATATGCATCCATGACATATTTCTAGATGCTAGTAAAATTAATGATTATTTAGTACTATGTGCATCCATGACATATTTCTAGATGCTAGTAAAATTAATCCATATTATTAATATTCTACTCAAAACCGACTACTGGTCTGACCCGACTAGTAAACTAATAGCTTGACCGGTCCAGTCAGCAGTCACCATTCTGGTTTTTTATCCCAACTACTTTGGAATTGGCCTCATAAAGTTTACAGTGTTAATTATTTGTGTAAAATTAGTTTAACCGTATAAAGTCATGCAAAAAGAATTTGCACCGGATGCCCTTCCCTCAAAGGAATAGAAGATGAAATTCTAGAAGCGGTCAATCATCCTCCGTTCTTTCCACTTGCATGGAAAATACCACAAGCCAGGGATGAGTTGGTATAATTGATATAGTCACAAGTCTAGTACAGGATTGATAATTTAGACAATTGACATGCTCATCATGGCATACATGATATAACAAAAAAGTAGATTTTTTATTCAGGTTTTATATCAGCATGTACTTGCGTTCCATGTTTTGCATGTTGGTTTTTTAAATATCAATCTTGTAATAGAGCACGGGTGCATGACTGTAACAACTCATCTGTTGTCTCATGGTTTCTTCCATGCAAGTGGAAATTACCTATGGTGATGGTTTAAATATTATTTCATATTCCGTCGTAAGAAGGTTGCAACATCTGGTGTAAAACTTAGTCACTGTGATTATGTTTGATTTTTTGCATGAATTTGTAACGTTATCTATTTGGAATTAAGGTGAGCTAGTGATGATGAAATTGGCATCAAACTTTCTGTAAGCGTATATGATAAAGTTGGGTAGCCCATACTCCATAGAACCCTAAGTGCTTACCTTTCCTTGACCAGTTAATTTATGGCCACATACCAACCTTTGTGCCAAATATCTGAACATTCGTTGCTGTCTAAACTGTACATGTCATGCTTGATTGGAAGAGGCTAAACAGCTGAATGTATTTATGCTACAATCATCATACTCCTTACTGTGGTTATGTTTTTAGTCTTTACTGAGGGTGGGGCCGTTGCTTTGAATTATTCTCTCCTCCACTTATTTTGTGGTTGAAGATAATGTGATGGGAGACTTTTTATGACATACTATATTGATATGTACTATTTATGACGTACTATTTTTCAGTGGAGCACTGACACATTCTGTGAAGGCGCTCGACATTTCCCTGAAGATCGATACAGAGCTTGCTCTCAAAGTAGGAAGGCGGACAAAGCGGGCATGATGGTCATCCTATTTATTAATGGACTTAATTATTAACCTTTTGAGGTCATCTGCTAGTTCTTAGCCCTAATCCAGACCGTGACATTGGATTGAGATGTTATTTTCCCTATTACTCCGTATTATATACGGAGTTTGAAGCTGTATTCTTGCCAGGGAAAAAAATAGGAAACTTGGCTTAAATTTTCTCTTCCCTAGAGTCTCATTGTGGGTGGGAGCTTTTTGTGGTGATGGTGATGGATTGTAGGAACATAGTAGGTTTCAGGCATCCATGACTAAGATTGCAACTGTCAACATTTTTTGAAATAAGAAGCAACCAACGGGACAGGACTGAGAGATGGACGTAAAGGAACTCTAGGGTGGACTCAATCCCGGAACCGGACTCGACTGGGAGGGTAAAGAATTAAACCGGTTCCCCGCTTTTACAGTTTTGGACTGAATTGAGATTGGGTGAGTCTAAGGTTCCCTTTGGATGGCATTAAGTTCCTATTTGTCCCAATGCATGGGATTGTTGGTGAACTATACTCTGTATTTTTGTTTCTCCATTCTATTTTTTTACACTTGGATAATGGGCGAGGGTATTAACCAAAGAAGATGGGTAGGGTGGTAATCGAATTAGCTTTTGTTATGCTTTTCTTGTCCCTTTTTCTTTTACCTGATGTTACCTACGAAATTTACGTCAGTTGCTAAGCGCACCATAATGTTCACCAATAACCTCCATTTCCATTTGCTAATAAATTGCAGAAAAAGGATTTAGGGTACGTCTGGACTTTGGATAATGGAAAAAAGCTTGGGAATGGAAGAAATGTCAAGAAATTTCGTTTTCTACTTTTTGGCTTCGCCTTCATATTTGATAATGTTCAAGATAAATGATTAACGAATTAAATCTGTTGAAATTTCCGAGTGGTTACATAAACAGATAAAAATAATCTTGAATAAATATCTAAAGGAAAGCTGATTAAGTTTGAGACTTGAGTACTTGACCATGTCTAATTTCATCCTATAATTGAATTAACATCTGAATAAATATCTACATAAACACTATAAAAAAACATGATATTAGTTAGAGTTTTCGTCCTTGAACAACATGTTAGAGATTTTGTTAGATATAGCAGCAATCACTCAAGTACTCAAGCATGGTTCGTCACAGAATAATCCTTGACACCATATTTTATACTTCATCTGTCTCATTGTATTTTGCCAATTTTCCGTTTTTGGTTGTTTCAAAAAACTTTGTCACTTTCCTATTAAAGCAACTAATTTGTGGTTCTGCACATTTCTATTTTCTCTGCACAAATTCCAACCACACATTTTTTACTATTCTTATTTCTCACCTACTTTGCACTTGGCAAAGTCCACCGGGACGGAGGTAGTACTTCGTATAACCTGTTAAATGTGTGTAGGCATGGACTTGGCCGGTTCAGCCCGACCTCGTACCTGGTCTGACCAGTTACTGTGCGGGACTAGCCGAGCTGATCGAGATTGGAGGCTGAAAGTGCAGGTATTAGGGGCGGGCTACAGGATCCATATAGGGAGATTTCCCAAAATAGGAGTAAATGGAGTTTGAAATTCCAAAATAGGACTACTATTTTTTTATTCCCGAAATGGGACTAACATGACAGTATTTAGGATGTTTTTACTTGGACTGTAATTTGTTGATCTGGTCTGGTCTTGTTTCTTTGTATTTTTATAACTATCCAAGTCTGGTCTGGTCTGAACTGGTCTGGTCTGATATGGTCTGGTCTGGGAGGAATTACAGTCCAAGTAAAAACATCCTTACTGTCATCTTGTAGGCGTGACTGCCAAATAGTTGCAGTACAGTGCATTTAACATGACATTATTTATTATAATTAACGGGATTATTTTTCAATCGTGACAGTATTTTTCATACATGATAGTAACAACTCCTATTTCGGGAAGAAAAACATATAGTCCTATTTTGGAATTCCAAATCTCATTTGCTCCTATTTTGGGCAATTTCCCTATCTAAGAAATCTCTGACATGCTGATAAGGGACGAAATCTCTAACTAACATCTGGATATATGGTGGACCGGCCCGGGCCCAAATTTTCTTTTTATTTTTTCGCATTTGGTTAGTTCTTAGTGGGATGAGTTGGGTGTTTTGGCAGGGTTTGGGGGTAGGAATGAATGCGAAAAGGGTAATTTAAAAAAATATATATACCCAACCTGATCTCGACCTGGTCTTGGTCTAAACTCGGGCATGCAGCCCAAAACGGCAAAACCCCAGTCCCGCCCAATCCCGGCCCGGGGCCCGACCCGACGGTCCCGGTCCATCCCTAAATGTGTGTTCCAAATAAGGTATGTTAGTTTATTTTAATGAATTGTTTTTTATATAGTACATATTAAATTAAATAGAGTATTAGTATTCTACCCGTGCATCGCACTGGTACATATCACACAGAAAAATATATACCTCTTATGAAAAACTAAGTATTTGACATACAGAAACAATATATAAATTTAATAACTTTTCATAGCTAAATTAGATTGTCGTCATTCATTTTGTTGGTTCATCATTGTCATAATTTTTTTTATAATCACGACATCATTTTTTCATAAAGGGTCCACTGCATGATTATGGATTGGTTTGACTCTAATACGATGTCAAGATTCGAGGTCCATCCCTAAAGAGTCAATCTGACAGGAGGAGTAGCTCAATATCTTAATATATCATTTTATTACTTCATATTTTACCGGTGTGAGACTTCAATAGTGAAGAGAGGTGTTCGAAAAGCTGACGAGTGTGATGAAATGTGAATAATGGGCAAAAATCAACGTGTCCTTAACATATACTACATGTTTCTGTGCTCTTATAGCGCCGCTAGAACTCACCAACTAATACATGCACAAAAGGAATCGGCCCGGAACCGAACCGGCCCGCTACTGTGCGGGCCCGGACCGAGACTGGGACCGGTTGGCCGGTTCCGAGCTTTTAGCCCGTTTGGGTGGGTCGGGCGGGCCGGGCTCAGGCCCAGTTTTGGGCGAACCGGCCTGGGCGATTCGGGTCGGGCCCGGGTCTTTTTTTCAATTTTTTTTCTTTTCCTAGGCTAGGGCTGGGTGTTTTGGGGAGGTTTGGGGGTGGGGGTGAGGGGGGGGTCGGGGGATAACAAGAAAGCAAAAAAAATAGACATTGAACCGGGCCCGGCCCGGTTAGGCCCGGACCCGGTATCAACCCGGGCCGGTTCCGGGCCCATGGATTTTCAAAAAAAGCCCGCCCCGGCCCGACCCGGAACCGGACCGGCCTGGGTCCATCCCTACACGCATGCACACACACGCATACACACATTTAAATTCGATGGCTAGTATTTGTTTTCCATTTATTAAACATGAAATATGTGATCCAACATCCACATTGAAGTCGAACAATAAATATATAATACTCCCTCTGTCCCAAATTGATGGTCCTATACTCTGCGGGTTCAAATATTAAGAAAGTGGGGTAGAATGACTCATATAACCTTACTTTATTGCACTGTTAATTCCTTTAATTTTACTGTTAATAAAAAGTAGGGGTATAAATGGTACTCTACTTTAATTCCTTACCGAAAAGGGAAACAAGACCATCATTTTGGGATAACCCATATAGGAAATACATGACCATCATTTTGGGACGGAAGGAGTATTCATTTTTCTATACTTTTTAAATATGAGTGAGCTTCCAAGCACGCGGAGGCCGATATTAGAACACGTCGTATGAAAAAACATGTCATATCCATGTATCATATGAATAGTCCACCCAATCCTAGGTAGGGGGTAGGTAGAACCAGTACCTGAGAGTTCTAGTCCTGGGCCGGTTCCGGTCGGTCCCAGTCCAGGCTAGGGCCTTTTTCGGTCCAATTTATTTTTCATATTATGAATTTATAATATGTATGTATTATTTACGAATGAATCTATTCATCAGAGTTAGATAAATCGAATTTAAACAAAAAATGTTTCACGTCCCACCCAACGACTGTATTTATTGAAATCTGAATTCAAAACATAAGAGTTAACAACTAATAAATGGCAAATTTAAAACGATTACAAAAATTAAAAAAAATGAATTAGTACAATACTACAATGATAGACCCTAAAGTGTTATACAATAGATAACATCTGTATAATTAAAAATGAAATAACAATTATTCATTGTTGACTTATATGAGTGCTTAATGCTTTCGTTCTCTTTTAGGTGCAATGAATGAATCACATGCGATAAAAAAAACCTAGTGTGCGAGCGACTGCTTCATCGTTTATGATTGCGGCGGTGCCGCCTCCTCCACTGGTGGCTGCGGCTGCTCCGCCTCCGCTGAACCCGTGGTCTGGTCGTTCTTTTGCTAATGTGCTTTCTAACAAATCTAATGGTGAACTTTCTACCAAAACGCCATCGAAACATAAAGGAATGTCGGCTATTAGCTTCACCACTGAGGATATTCGCATACTTGCTTAAAGGCATAGGCATTCCCTAATTGGTTATTTTTATCGGGGAAGACCTTCTTTGGAGATCATCAGAAAGTCTTTCGAGATCATTGGCTTTAAAGGATAGTTTCAATTGGGAGTTTTGAAAAAAAAAACATATCTTGATTCGTTTTGACTCCGAGGAAGATTATATAAGGTGCTGGAACCGCCAAAGTTGGATAATTCAAGGTCATGGTGACCAAATGGACCTCGGACTTTTGACCCAATATCGAATCTCCAGTGGTTCCGGACTGGATTTCATTGGAAGGTCTGCGAGTGCACCTTCATGACAAGAGGGCACTATTTGATATTGCTGGATTAATAGGTAGACCTCTCAAGATTGATAATGCTACTGCTAGTCTATCTAGGCCCTCAGTTGCACGAGTTTATGTTGAGCTGGACCTTACACAGGAAATACCTTCTAAGATATGGATAAATTGTGGACCTAATGACTTTTCTCAGCCTGTGATCTATGAACAAATGCCAGAATACTGTAAGTATTGTTTACATTTGGGGCATTCGTTCTTGAAATGTCAAAAGCGCAACCCAGAGGTCTTAAAGCCAGATGTTCGGCCTAAGGACAGATGGGTTGAAAAGAACAACAATGCTCAGATTAAACAGGTAAGATTCACGGAGAAAGAAAAAGGGAAGGGAGTTATTACAGAAAAGGAATACATTGTTAAGGAAGTAAATTACAAAGTTTCTATAGTGTCTACAAGTGCATAATCTCTGGTAGTATTTACAATGGTTGGATCACAGCAGTTTATGGGGGGCATAATTATACTATATCTTTGGCAGGGTTTGAACATAATTGAAGCTTCTATGAATGAACCCTGGATGGTGGGAGGGGATTTTAATGCAATTTCTTCTTATAGTGAACATAAAGGCAGATCCATACCTATTCTTAGAGATGTGAATGATTTTGGGGACTGCATTGCAGCTTGTAATCTCATAGATCTCCCTCACATTGGGCCTCAGTATACCTGGTCAGGGACAAGATCTAATGGAAGAGTGTGGAGGAGGTTAGATAGATATCTATTTAACAATGCAGCAGTTGACATGTTTAATTCTATTCGGATTACTCTTCTCAACAAATCACCATCAGATCATAATCCTCTATTAATTCAGATTGTTAATGAGAAGAAATCTATGCCTAAAGCTTTTCGGTTTCAGAACATGTGGGTATCTCACCCATATTTTTTAAGTTA